GTCACAGCGAATGGAAATTAAAACCCAACCAAATTAACGAAGTTTATTATGGAAATTCGCTATCCAAAGAACTACATCGAAAGCGTGACAAAACAGCCTCACGCAAACTCAGAGTCCTTAGCAAGGTGCGGCGTTTTGTCATTGTGCTTGAAGGAAGTGTGTTCTGGCGTGGGATATTGCTCGCACCTCTGGGACGGCTCCGCCAAGTACTTACTCCATAATTTAGATAGGTAACAGCGACGCATCATCCGGCGATGAGGAGGTGACTAAAAATCTCGAGCCCCTCAAATTACTCCCTGTTGTGGCGTTCTTTCGTCTATACTACGGCAAGTATTCTAAGGAGTTATTCTCCTATATCCCATCTTCTCCTTTCCTTCAGAAGACCACGCGCGGTGTCCTACGTTGTCACCGGCTCACTAAATTTGGTGACTAATTTCTTTGTCACACTATCCTCATGGAATGCTTTGCACGCTCACGTGTTTCATACCTCCAATGTTCAGGCCGACAAGGTGAGAATGGCTAGTGTGGCAGGGGAACTGCTTTACTAGCTATCTTTGAGTCTGGATTCCAACGTCTTATTTATATAAAAAAAGAAATGATTATGACATTAATGACGTGCATGAAATTTCTAATAGACCGAAATAATTGTTAGATCTGGGAATTAGATTATTTAGTGTTGCGCACCAATTGGTCAACTAAGACAGAAAATAAATAGAGCATAACGAACTGCATTAACAAATCGAGCGGAATAATAAGGAACAATTTATACAGCATTTTTCTTATAAATATTAAAAAGTAAAATATTTATAACGAAATCTAAGGCTGGGGTTTTTATAGAGTTGTTAAGTTTAGATAATAATAATCTTATTAATATTTTTTTTAAAGAAAATAATTAATCTCTAAATAAGCAAAGCCTTTAAGCGAATATGTTACACAAATAGATTACGAGTCAGTCTTAACCATAAAATACAAATAAAAATCTGGGTATTTCTCTAGGGTATGAACACAAATAACTTCCACAAACATTAAGAGTAGGTATATAAGGTCTCGCTTGTACATAACAGTAGCAGACGGCAGATATCGTGCGTGTCAAGCGAAGCCTGAATAATGACGTCGGCTGACATTTAATTTCGGATACAAAAGGCTCTTTATGCTGCTTACCCTAATCCATTTAGTGATCCCTGCCCTCCCGCGGATGATATTGACAGAGATCCTTTTAACATTGGATTAATAATATTAACGCTCCACCGATTCGCCAGCTTCGTAACGTGTTCATTATAATGTGGAATGGCGTAACATGCCTGCCTGCTATGATATTGGGATTCATACATTTATTATTCATAGGGGGTGCCCGCAACTTAGATTATGTGGAATAATTGGTTTCAAATTATAAAAAAAACTATCATTACCGCATAAGTTCTCTTCGCCTCCATACCAAAATTTATCGATATCGGTTTAGGGATTAGGCATAATAGTCACACGCACAGATACTTTTGCGTTATCATATAACTATCTATGGATTTACACAACTTAATATAACAAGAGCTAATAACTTGGATGGACGTTTGAGAAAATGTGTAAGTATTATACGATTTTAGATATAACATACAATGGAGTTCTAAAGTGAATTGTTTTCCACCGAATTCATAGAAAAGGAGGAGGATCTCAATTCGACTGTTTTTTTGTCAAACCGATTTTGATGATTTTTATTTGAAAGATAATACTTTCCGTGTAGTTCCATTTCAATTTGGTTCAGTTCTGGCGTCCACGAGAAAACCAAATAAGTCTTTTTATGGTTTTTGCATTAAGTATGTGCGCGACAAATGGTCAAATAACTCAATATCACGACAACCGATTTTGATGCTCCTTTTTTTGTTTGGAAAAGTTTATTAGCGAGATTGTCCCATACTAATTTGGTGAAAAACTGATAAATTCTTTCGGAGATAAACAACGATACACCTCAAATACGAACAGTGCACATATCGTTGGTTAATTTACGAAATATGAAAGAGAGACCGCAGGTACGACATCTATATTTAGTAAGTTGATGTTGCTCTGGCTTAGAAAAATTAAAAAAAAAATCCAAAAAATTAAATCCGACTCCATAAAACTAAACCACTAAAACGTAGGGAATAAAGCATATTCTTTACATTTGGAGCCGGGGGCATGCCATCAAATTGCAATATTTCTTACATTTGATTGGTTTTGTTTTATGAAGTCGGTTTTCATTTTTCTTAATAGTTTTTGTAGGTACTATGCTGTATTAAAACATGGAACGATTCCTTTATTTTTATGAACAACGACTAATTACACCCTTATAGCGCGGTTCACAGATCTGTGCTCTGTTGAGCGTTCACTGATTTAGCAATTCCTTTCAGTTAAATTATTCACAATTTGCCTTGTACTTAAATTAACGACGACTTCATGTAGGAGCAAAGGTTATTATGCAGGTGTTTTGTCTCCGATTAGAACAATACGAATTCATATTAGTCAATCCTACATGCTTACTAATATTCATAATTCATGACCAACAAACACAGGTCTCTGACGTCATGAATAAATAAATTATCAACAACTCCTAGAAATCGTACAGCACAATTATTTATACCCAACTATTTTACTGTCAATCCATGCCTATTAAAGTTCTAAATGAGAAATTTTCCTGGTCTGCCTTTCAGTCTGTTACCTCTTCGCGTTTAAACTTCTCAACCTATTATTATAAATTATGAAGGTCCAGTGAGTACAAGTTAGATATAGATAAAATTTGATCAATACATAGTTTGAGTTCTGGGAAAGGTTATGGGATAGTTTTTATTCTTGAAATCGTCATTTAAAGGGATGAAAACGGGGATGTTAGTTTCTATGGAAAATCAATTTTCACCCCGCTGACATTACATTTTTACTGGCTAATATGTTTAGCCAGTAAATAAACACACGATAATAACCTGAGACCTAATGGCAAAGACACTATATAGGTTTTGTTACTAAATGTGTTTTATTAACGTAGTTACATCTTATGAAGGGTCAAATATAGCGTAATCGTTACAAGGTTACATACATTATATTCGTAATGTTTAATGATATGAATGATGTCTTTGAAACGTGATGACAGTAAGGTACTTATTTAATAATAGAATAACGAATCTTCAACCCCGCCAATGCCATGTCACTTTCTTATTACACATGGTGATATGACACTTGACAAGCGGTTTGTATGTCAACGAAACTAGAAACATTCGTGAGTGAACATTTATGAGATGGAATTGGATTTTTGCAACATCTATACAGGATTTCGACTTATTAGGTCAATATATGATATTAGTTGAGGACTTTTCCACTTTTCGACTTGCTTGCAGGTTAAAGATCACGGGTCTTATTTAGTGTGCCGGTAACTTGTAAAAATGCAAATAAAATTTATGATCATATGTAAATCCGCTGACCACAAACTTTTTATTGGGTTCAAAGCGCTCATACTGAACCATGGAAACAGCCACGTCGGGGTCCTGGTAATCATACAGATATCTTTCCAGTATGGTCTTAAATCCGCGAGCACACTGCCGAACTACACCAGCAATACTGGCTCGACCTGGAGATGTGCAGGCAGACCAAGCTCGCTTTGCCACGGGTGAACGCTGCCTTCTCCAAAACTCTCCTACAGCTAAGCAAACCTACATTGCGCATGGTAACGGGTGCTATCACTGGACATGCACATTTTAACAGACATCTTTTCAACTTAGGTGTCACGGACAGCCCCCTATGCAGAGGATGCATGGAGGCAGAAGAAACAGCTACTCACGTTCTGCTGGAATGCAACGGAGTGGCCGAATACCGGGCGAAATACCTCGGCTCACCGGGAAACCTTCAAGAGGCAGTCACCAATGTGAAGGCCCTGGGGGCGTTCCTGAGGGAGCTGGGCTGGCTGGAGTGATACCGGCCATACACCCTCCTCACGCAAAACAGGCGCCATAAGGACGTCGAGTTGCGGAAACGCCCGTAGCAACAAGAAGAAGAAGATGGTCTTAAATTATTTTTTTCACATAGTTATTCTTAGCCACAGTATTCCTTACAATTTGGGGGTAACCTTGGTTAATTGGGTTAGAAATTTGGTTTCGGTTATTAGTTTTTGGTTTGACTTGTTGGTTATGAATTTAAGTTTGATTTCCGGTATTTCCCCAGCGTACCAAAAAAAGGGCCCCTTTGGGTACGGTATAACGGTATAGGGTACCGTTTCACCCTTTGGGTACTGTACCCTACAAAGGTTGAGGAGAGAAGAATTTAAGTGCGGCAAAGCTTTGGTTAAGGTGACCATACCTGCAACGTTAGTCAGCCGTATTTGGCGTGTTTTAGTAATAGCGACATTGATCGCAAAAATATTGTTTCACTGCTGTTATTGTTAACTAGATAAAGAAGAAAAAGAAGATTTCTTGTACATCCATTTCTGACGATTATGAACGCTGATGTGAACTATTTTATCCGAAAATACTATGGCTTGAGAACAGAAGAAGATAATTTGTTTGATTATTTGAGAAAAAGAAAGTTTATTATTACCATGTCTACAAAACGATCGTACATGGGAAGTCTCAGAGCGGACTAAAATGGCGTTACCAAGTATGACGTAATATCGCAGGAATGCGAATCAGCTGTGCTATTCTGTAAAATTTTCCGATGTGGATCCGCGTGGACTTATATCGGATCCGCGCGTGAAAACTTTTTGCGGTGCATTCGTACGAGCTCGCAGATATTTGCGATGTGATGCGAATTCACAGTTATGTGGGAGTACTAAACATTGACTGCGGAGATTAGACCATAGTTAACCGTTAACTCTTGTCAATGAACCGATTTTTATAATTATATTTGCAGTTAGTTATGTAATAGAACAGAGAATGTCTGTTCTGGGGTAAGCAAAAAGTATATAAAAAAATATTGTTTTTTTATTTGGCTGACTATTGAAAATAATTGAAAATATGCCCTAATTTTTGAAAGTTAATAAATTCACTCACGTTTCACGAGCACACTCGAGCCGCCCTTGACGTCCGACCTGTAAAGAAAATTGAATTTTCATTAACAAGCCTATATTGAAGCCATTCGTCCGTTTCATTCGCCTTTACGGAATATAATATTTATTTTGAACTCCAAAAATAACGTTTAAAAATAAATCTAAAAAAAACATCTTACGAACGCAATCCCACTTAGTTTGCGAAAAATTCAGAATTTACGAGGAAATATTACAGCCAACCTGGCTTTTTGTTTCTCATTTCTTGAGATAAAAGTTTTTACGAGAATTCCTAAATTGTAATATCGGTGCCAACGTTGTGAAATTATTGTAATGATTTTTTTGCGAACAACAGGATTATTTAATGAAAATACGTATCAGATTTTGTAAAAGTCTAACTTAAAGTATTATTATTTACAGAGTCGTCAAGTTTAAAAATGATTTAAGAGATGATTCATGTCACCTTTCATTACATAATGTGAAATATACATTGATCGTTCACTTGCATTTTGATTGCTGTAGAGTATAGCAAAACATAGTGTGTTGTGAGAAATGAATCCATAAATTTACGATTGCTTTTAATGGAACTGGAATTTGCAGACTCCGATAAATTTTAGTATCTGACCAGTCGTCTTCACTTCTATTTGTGATCGTAACTATATTCACGATACTATGTAGAACCTGAATACAAAAATACAGCGTTATCTTAATGTGGCAAATAAAATGTGGATATTGGCAAAACGATACTGAGGTTTATGCGATAATAAAGGGGTTCATGTAACTGTCTTTATCCTAAATTTAAAATCAAAGAATCTTTGGTGGTGATATAAAATTATATCTCCGGGATCAGATTTTGTGAACTTGATAGTTACATTATTGATCTGATATACAACGGTGTCGATAACCGGAGTGTTGGCGGCGGTGTCACAATTCGGAATAATTCATGAGCTCCAGAGGGCGTCTCTGGGTGTTACTCTTTCGTTTTGTAACACCCGATCCCAGCCATTGTGCCATTATGATGCAAAACTCAGTGACGACTGCCGTCCGAAACGCAAGACAATTCTCCTAAAAGGTTATTAGAATGTGGGTCTCGGTGTAAATGATATCAAGGTTAGTGTTTTGGGGAATAGATAAGCGATGCCGGGTGCTGTTTTGTTTTACGGACTCCAAGGTAATATTTTTAATGATCAGATTTTTTGAGTTGTTTAAATTTCCAAACAAACGCTCATATATTTTATTACAAAATGCACTGAAAATTTGGACACCTCAATTGTCAATACTGAATATTTTTATTTAAAATGCAGGAGGTATAATAATAAAACAGATAATAAAAACTGATTTAGTATTGAATTCAATTGAAATGTTTTCATATCTTAATTATACAAGTCCATTACATCAGTAGATTTGCAGACTTATTAAAACATTAAAATACAAATTATTTCGTTGAAAAAGGTAATATCAAAAGCCTTTGATTAAGACGTTACGCTTAAAATCCTTGAGATACGCCCTAGTTAGCTAAACATTATTTTGTTCCAACAACTTTAACGCGATGAATAGACAAGATAATACGTTTGTGTGGTACATTATAAGTTAAATTACCATTAAATGATGGAATGATAATATACAAAAACACAAAAAATAATGCAGTGAAAAATGCGAATAACCTTTATGAGAATCTAGATTGTGAATCGAATTTGATGGAGATACCAAGTTGTCAAGTGGGTAAGGTGTACCCACTCGATCAATCGCTTCTATTCCCACATCGGTTCTCGATTCATTTCAATCATTTTGTTAAAATAAAATACAATAATAATGACTACGTATCGATTCATCAATTTCATTAGGTATATCGATCATGTGGCCACATATTCTGTAAATGTGGGAAATTGTGTACGATATAAATAAAGTACTTTTGATAACATGTAACTACAGAAAGTCGTAGTTCATGTAAAAGAATAAGATACACATTAGGAAAATTTTATTCAAAATTTTATTTAGTTTGTTTTAATAATATTTTAGTGCATGCACAGTTCTTATTGGTTTATTAAGAAGTGAATTGATTGACTAACTAACTGGACAAAGGTTTTGGATTTGGATATTAATGTAATCACAAAAACAAATATTCTTCAATAATAATATTTAATGCGGTGTCATACATAATGGTCCAACCGGAAAGGTAATAATCGAATGATTTCGAACAATTCTAGGAAATATTGGTAACGTAATAAAGGCTCGTGATGCAGGAAGTCGGCCGATAGAAGATTGAGATGGGCGTCAAGAGCTAAGCGGATGTAGTATTGTGACATTTTGTTGTGATAGATGAAGCCAATTCAAACCCAATTTGCATAGTGTGGAAATATAGCGACTGATCAATATATTCTTACATGAAAAATGGTTGTATTAATAAGTAGAGCAAATATCAAATTACTGTTGACCGTTTATATTTTGTAAAAAAGATGTATGCTTAGTTATAATCATTTGAAAAACAGTGATAATTACGGACATCTCTTTGCTATTTTTTTTTAATTTCCACGCGGTCCAGGCTGCAAACTAGACGCTAAGGGTATTATTAGGACCGCGGTAGCATACTGGTCAGTGTATCCGCCCGGATAGCGGGGAGTGCGGGTTCGTGTCCAATTTAACTACAAAAATATCGTCGTGGAATTTTTTCCAGTAAAATTTTCTTAAGCTTTGAACTCCTTTTAATTGATGTATTAGATAGGAACGTTTTTTAAGTATTATTTTTATATTTTCTCGCATTATAATTACCGTAACTATAAATAAAAAGCTTTTTATCTACAATTCTACACTCATGTCGAAAAATTTTTAATTTTTATTGTTTCTATGAGTGGAGATAAAGTAGTGTATGCAAACTGCATATGATTTAGGTATTAAAACACTCGAGTCACCTAGTACTATCACAGATAAACAGACTCTCGGGTTTTTGAAGTGAAAAAATGTGTGACGATTTTTGCGTTACGCGCGCACCGGTAAACAATGAACAATACACGTCACAAAATGCATGAACAAAGTGCTTGGTGGGTGATAACGAACCCAGCACGGATTGGTGGGTGATAACGGACCCAGTGCGGAGTGGTCGGTGATAACTGACCCAGTGTAGATTGGTGGGTGATAACGGACTCAGCGCGGATTGGTGGGTGACAATTGACCCAGTGCGGATTGGTGGGTGATAATGGACCCAGCGCGGATTGGTGGGTGACAATAGACTCAGTGCGGATTGGTGGGTGATAACGGAGCCAGCGCGGATTTGTGGGTGATAACGGACCCAGTGCGGATTGGTGGGTGATAACGTACCCAGCGCGGATTGGTGGGTGATGGTGGACCCAGTGCGGATTCTAGGGTGATCACGGACCCAGCGCGGATTGGTGGTTTTTTTTCTATCAACAAATCTTCAGGTTAAGTTTATGATTTTGAGATCACTGGAGCCAACGAAGTTTCACTTCAGTCGTGTGGTCATATAAGCATAAGCACACTCCCTTTATTTTTAAATCCCCCTTCTTATAAGTAAGTCGCATACACTACTATTTTGCATTCTAGCTCAGTTATCTTGAAGATAATTTAAAATTTGCCACTTTTTAAGTGCAACAACGTTTAAATAAACAATCGGTAACCACGTTTTATATATATACCATTCGCATGTATGGATGAGATTGCTTATATTCGAGAGCAGCTGCTCATTAAAGAATTTTAAAAATTATTTTTCATACGCCATATTCATTATAATTTTAATTGCCCTAACTGTGTTACTTAACCTGACATTGAGACAATCCCATTACATATTTCACAATAAGACAGTGTAAACCCGAATGCCTAGTTATTGTCTCGTTGCGATTGCGAGCGGAACATTGTGTGATAAGTGCAAAATTATTTGTTACACATTTTCTATCGATTCTGACCTTTATGGTTTGCGTAATAAGATAAAATGGACTTTTTAGAGAAAACATTGCAGTATATAATTTAATGGTTAATGGTTTCTCACCTATACATTTAGTCTCGTGTTCATTACGGCTCCTCTTGTTAATCGGGTGTAAAATTGATTACGTCATGTTACCCAGACGATATTCGGTTTAAGAGAATAATCTTGGTTTAAGCGGTAATAAGCCGAATTATCTCCCATGTAAATTGTGTCGTAATTTTCGTGGGATATGTTATATCTGAGAGTTCATTGTGTCATCTTGCTACATTATCATAATAATATCACGTGGGTAGATTGCGGCTGGCACTAATTGAATTTATAATTATGAAAATAGTTTATGATTGTACACAAAGCTTTAGATATACGTGATTGTATTAACGTAGAAATTAATAGCTTGCCTCTGTAATGTACTTCACTTTCGATCAAATGGCGTTTAATTGAACAATATTAGATTACATAGCAGTGAATGAAGTGTTGGTAGTCACCAATAAAAAGGTAAAGTTACTAATTGTAGACTTAAATTTAGCACTTAATATACCAAATTAATTATTTTCTCGTAACATAATTTAATTCAAGCAAAAACAAAACTTTTATATTCAGACTGCACTAACAAAGAGACAGATCTGTTTTAGATCTCTTCTACTAATTCTATGATGTGTTTAAGAGTTTTTTTATCTCGTGGGTATAGGTGCATATAAGTCACTTTCGGACCAGCCTCTTTCATGTAACTAAATAACCTACTTACATATAAAAAATACCTTGAACATAAAATATAATTTTATAAACTTCGAAAGAAAGACGTCTTTCGAAGGTAGCTCGATAAAGTAAATAAAAAATCATTATTCTAACAATGTCAATAAATGATAATGTCAATAAATAAATAAAGTTCGTGCATTAACCCGTTAAAACTAGTTTTATTTAATGAGTGATTGAAATCCTAAGAAACAAATAAATATATTTTTTATCAGATACACGTTCAAAAATACTATTTAGAAAGTAGTGATTGTGACAATTGAAAAACAGAATGTCGTGGTAGTCGGGGTACCCCGAGATTATTTAACCTATTTTCGAAGATTTTACGTTTTAATAGTTTTTTGCCAAGAAACAT